TTTTTTCTGTAAAGCTTCTATTGTGAAAAACTATATAAAATAAATGTGTTTATTTACTCACCCTCATGTCCTTCCAAACCCATGCTTTCTGTCTTCTGTGGAGCACTAAAGCAGAAATTTTAAAGAATGTAGTGGTCACTGTTTTCTATGCAATTACAGGGAGTTTTCAAACTTCAAAAAAGCATTTTAAAAGCCCCATAAAAGATTAAAAAAGTTATTTTGTATAACTCATGCATCATATTCCAAGTCTTCTGAAACCATATAATAAGTGTTTGAGGAACAGAACGAAATGTAAGTCATTGTTCACTCAAAATCTTGACATCCGTTCTAGCTCTCCTTAAATGAGAATTAATTCGAAAAGTACAGTATGTCTGATTCAAGAACAAATCATTCTTTTGAGTTCCTGTAATTCAAATGAATCTAATATAGTCAGGTACATTTCTTGAACAGGATGTATTAGGTTTTGCGATATTGACTTATTGCATAATTATCTTGCAGTTGGAGATAGGCCCGGCAGCGATGAACCACACTGAGCATACTGTGAGCACACTGGGGATTGTAGTGGTGGGCGAGCCTGGCAGGCCTGTGGAGGATCTGGAGGGAGAGCTGGAAAAAAAGATTAGGCTGCTGGAGAAGGAGAGAAAGAACCTCCGGAAAGAGACCCAGAGCCACCACCAGCACATAGACCAGGGAATCAACACCCTGCAAGAGCGTATTGCAGAGCTGGAACAGAGTAAGGAGGAAGGTTTGGTCAAACTCAAGGGAAAGGGGATGAAATGGTCGCTTCATTTTCAACTCACTCTCTCGATCTTTATTTCCCAGGTCTTACAGATTACAGTTACCCACAAGGGTATAAACTTTCCTTCCCTGTGCGGACTAACTACATGTATGGGCTTGTCCGGCGGAATATTCCAGAGATGTACGCCTTCACGGCGTGTCTGTGGCTCAAGCCTGCTGAGAGTGGAATTGGGACGCCATTTTCCTATGCTGTACCGGAACAACCCAATGAACTTGTCCTGTTGCAGGGCATTCATAATCCAGCAGAACTACTCATCAATGATAAGGTAAGACCTACTACACCAAGGCTTCTCAAATCTGGGCCTGGAAGGCCACTGCTCTGCAGAGTTTAGCTCTAACCCGAGTCAAAGTCACCTGAGCAAGCTAATCAAGGTCTTCAGAGTTACTACAAAATGATTGGTAGGATTTGAGCTAAACTCTGCAGAGCAGTGGCCCTCCAGGTCCAGATTTGAGGAACCCTGCACTAAATCTTCCCTTCACAGCAACCTTGTGCAATACAGCTGATGGACTCAACCCTTCCTTCCATTTACAGGTGGCACAGCTGCCTCTATCTTTGCCCCAGGACATCTGGCAGCACATATGTGTGAGTTGGACCCTACGGGATGGAGTTTGGAAAGCATATCAAGGTGGAAAGTTGAGAGGACGGGGTGAAGGTTTGTCCGCTTGGCACCCAATCAAATCCGGGGGCGTCTTGGTGTTGGGACAGGAACAGGTAAGCAAGACAGTGAATCATTGAAGAGTCTGAATACACCCTCAAAGGTACACCTTCACTCTTGGGAAAAAAATGTGCAAAAATTTTACCTTCAGTTGTGCAAAAGCTTGTCACTGGGGCAGTATCCTCAACAGGACATCTTTGCACCTTATTTAGCCCTAAAAGATTCATGGTAGTGCCATAAAGCTACATATTTCTTCTCTAATATGCACCTTTTAGGGATAGATCAAGTACAAAGTTGGCCTTTAAAGGTCAGTGCCTCAGTTTTTGCAAATTTTTTCCTGACAATGTTTGCATTCTTCAAGGGTTGTTAAGGTACAAAGGTATACCTTTGAGGGTTCTACCCCAGTGACAAGGTGTTGGACCCTTAATGGTACCATTTTGGCACAGTATTTCTGATGCAACATAATGTTTATCCATGTGTAACCCTTCCGCTCTCCTTGGCTCCTCTGCAGGATACCCTTGGTGGGCGGTTTGATGCATCCCAGGCTCTTGTTGGGGAGCTTTCGTTATTTAACCTGTGGGACCGGGTGTTATCGCCAACAGAGGTTGCTGCTTTGGCGGCATGTGCAGAGTCGCCCCACTTGGGGAACATAGTGCCCTGGACGGACCGAGATGTGGACATGTTTGGAGGGGCTGTCAAGGACCCTGTGGACCCCTGCCTTCAGAGCTCCCATCCCCGGCAGTGAGCAGGGCCATGGATTGATACCTTTCTTTTTTTAAGGCGAGGGTAAATGAGACAAAAATGGCCTGAGAGGTATGACAACTGTGCTGTGGTCCCGGTCTGTGTATAGAATATATTTACCGTAGAGCTACACTCTTACTGAGTGTTTGTTTCTGCAGGGAAGGGATTTGTCTGTGTGTGTGGTTGTGTCACTTCGGATAGAGCTGCTGCCGAAGGCTTTTAAAGGCCTGTTTGCGTCTCGTGTTGCTTGTGTTATTTCATGCCCTTCTTCTCAAAGCATTACCGCACAATGGTCCCTTCAGATATAGAGAATGTTTTTGTAATACGATGGATGTGGCTCATTCTCACAGCACTTGTCTTGCTCTTGTTTCATTATTTGTGTAAAGTGGAGCTTTCGCTTTTTTCCCAGAGCAGCTTTTTCATTTCTTGTTTTTATTACTGATCCCTTAGGGTCACTTCACTTGTTATTTCAGTCCGGCAGCACTTAAAGGTGTATAACGTCTTATCTTTATTATAACATGTTTAAAATGTTTGTCTTTTGGCATCTGGTCAAATGGGTCTTTACCCTGCTGTGTAGCTTTTCTCATAGATTCAGCAAGATCCAAAAAATTTTTTAAACCAAAATGTGTTATTTCAAGCTTAGTATCTTAAACATCAGACTAAAATTTGAAGATCTGATGTGCAGCCCACACACTATGAAAATATGAATGTAAAATTGTTTAGCATCTTGTCGTGTTACCATTGCACTGCATCTAGCCCTACTTGCCCTTTCACAGAGAAAAGCTTATGGAGAAGTGCTTGTCTGTTTATTTGACTCTTGCTATTGGTTGATGATCAGCTGTGATGTCAGTATAGTGCTTCTTCATATTTGCACCACCAAGGATCTACAATGATATTGTGACAAATGTGGATGAAAATATTAAAACTGTGAAGAAAATGAACTATGAGAGTGCATTGTCTTGTTTACTTATATCTATCTATCTATCTATCTATCTATCTATCTTCATGCAAATCCTGGTTATTGTCATTCTCATCCTCTCATTGCTCTCTTCACGCTGTTGCTGCTGCTGTTGAATTATAGATGAGTGTTAATGACCCCCTCCATCACACTGACCACTGCTGCTTCTCTCACACCAGTAACATCCTCTGTGTGTGTGTGTGTGTGTGTGTGTGTGTTTCCTCTTCT